CCGCAAAACAAGAAATACGTCAGAAAGATGTAGATTTTTGTATTTCTGAACGAGATTCTCATCAATCAGCATTTTATTCATAGAGCTAAATGACTACCTAATTTTAATTTAGGCCTAATTCAGAGACAAAGAGACGGTAATAATATTAGTAATTACATACCAATATACCAAGTAAGTCCAACACAACATAAGGGAGAACAGAACCAAAACCAAACGATGGGTGATTTGAAAAGCAACGCTCTTGTTACAAGTCAAGGAACAGTTTGCCCATGAGCCTATCCTCGGTGATGCGCTGACATGGTACAAACACGGCCATTGTAACGAGCTTTGTGCTGCTGTCCATCTGTAACAACCCTTAGTGCGCTGTGGCTATTCTGCTCGGTGTGTCCTCCGGTCCATAGGGGCTCGCCAGTTGATACAACTTGCTTACACATTCCCACTGTCACTCAGCCGATAAACACGAGTGTTGGCTAACGTATCCATCAAGCATCGTGCACGCCAAGCTCCAGATCAAACACACATCCATGAGCAAAACGTGCGAGCAAAACGGAAGGTTTGCACGGTCAACATACGCTTAATTACCGCCATACGCTTATATTTCCTGATCAAAATTAACGTTCGTATAACAACCGCAGTAAACAAAGATAACCGGAAAAAACTTTTATTTCCATAGTAAATATTAATTACTTGTAAAGAATAGCTTCCTCCGTGCCCTAAATAATGCTTGCAGTGCAGGTAACTGGTACTATATTGTAGCAATGGCAACTGCTCAGCCGGTCTCAACTAGCGATCAGTGCAAATCGTTTACAATACACTAGCAATATAGCATCTAGAGCAAAAATGTTAACTAGCGTGTAGCGCAGTTACATGACAATGCACTAGCAATAGCGTCAAAGACAGCAATGCTAACTAACTATAGTTGTTAGTAAGTGATTAGACTGCACGTCCTATATTGCTGGCTCGTGATTGGTTATCGGCCAAAGTATAATGACCCTTGAGCGTGGAGAGAACAGAGCTGAAACGACCGTAGTCGGAGCGAGCGTTAATATAGCAAGATGCCCCCACCAGATCTGAGAGCCGAGCAGCGATGTTTCAAAAGGAAAATTTTTGAACATTTTTGACAATGAAAAAAGACAGTTTTCCCAAAAAATGTAGCACCCGTTATCAACCTGCGTTTGGTCGAGGAAGGCTTATAATACTGGTCATAGGAAGGCCAGAGGATGATTCTTGGGTGAAATTACAGGGCGTTATGTAAATTAGAGGCAAGATTCTCGTCATTGAAGTTCACGAGTGTTAAACTAGTGGAATTCAAGGTAATAATATATTGACTACTTTTGCAATAAAGATGGTTAAGCAGAGTAGTTACAGCATTTAATTGCCTATAATTCAGACGAAGCTCATTACACTCAGGTATTGTGTGGATACGACTTGACCTGAGGTCGGCCGCCCCCGATACGCCGATGATTTCTAATGATAGGTGAGGCAGGGCGGCTGGAGCATGCCCAGCTAACACGGCTCGGCGCTTGTTAGAGCAGCCATCATCTTCTTGAGTGTTGCCCGGCGAGGTGTCGGCGGTACTTTGAGTCCTACAAACAAGCCACATAAAGTCGATATTTGCATGCATAAAGTTTGCAGGATTGGTCCCTTGCGTGCCACAGCTTGGCACACTAATTTGATCTTTGAAAGCGTGTGTGTTTTGTGCGCTTATAGAGCTAATTGATGATGTTGTTAGGTGGTGAATGGCCGTGTAGGCATCGCTTTGTTTGTTTTGCCCAGCCAGCAATAGATGAGCTAGAAAAAAACCTCGACAAATCGTAAAAGCCGTCATGGCTGCAGCCGGAAAAAGAAAGAGACCCTAAAAATGAGTCTCTGCACGAAGCTCTTCATGCCTCTGCACGCAGGATGTGGGACGGTGATGGGGAGTGTGGGAGGTGATGGGGAGTGTGGGAGGTGATGGGGAGTGTAGGGTATATAGACAAGGTGATGGGACAATGATGAAGAAATCATGCATGGGAAGTTAGGAAATCATGGGGAAGATCGAGACGAGTAGTGGAAGAAATTGAGTAAGATGGAAGGCTACGGGAAAGATGGAGAAGATGTCATGCATGAGGATGGTGACGTAATAACGATGATAGGAGAGTACAATCAAAAAAATGAGAAGATAGCGAAAATAAGGTGATTTAAGAAAAAAAATGATGTGGTGAATGAGGAAAACTTGATGAAGATGTAAACAAGGCGATGGAAAGATGTGGATAACATTGAAAGTTCCCAGATGGAAATTAAATATGGGAGAGATGTTTTTGAAAATGATTATATAGGATGATGGCGGTTGGTAATGAATAGCAGGCGATGAGGAAGAACACTTGGGGTGAATGAGGAAATGACAAGCATGTGTTTGGATAAGAGATAAGATATGATACAGAATAATGACACATGGAATCAAGAGTTTAAATAAATTACACGGATTTCTGAGACAAAAATGCATGTTATTTGCTTATTTAAATTGTTAAGAAACTGCGAGCACAAGGTGCGAATAGGGTTGAGCACACATATATGGAAAAAATGCTTATATGTGCTCTCCGCAACTGGAATATTAACAGGGAAAATATTATATATGAACCATTTCTAGATAACAAACACATTATTTTATGCACACAAACGTGTGCATATATAATGTGTCCGTTATATACAAACTATATACATGCACACAAACGTTTACATATATAATATGTCTGTTATATACAAATAAATACATGCACACAAACGTGTGCACATATAATGTGTCTGTTTCATACATAATTTTACAAAGGTCATCTTTCCTCGGCCAAAAAAAAAATTTTTCAACTTTCATTATCAGCCCAAGTTTTGTAAATAAAAGGCATTTTGCCGGCATCGGACACGTAGCGTTCTCGCGCAACACAAGCGAGGCTCGCTAATTAAAGCAAATGGATTGCAGTGAGACAAACGCTTGCACTGCGCAAGCTTCCATCTCGTCATGACCTTAATTATTATCCAAGCTTCGAGGAGACCGAACCGCCAACCGGTTCTCTGGAACGGATACCCTATTGAAAATTATTGCTGGCCACTCAGGAGTAGGCAACGTGTTTTAGTATTAAATAATCTTGTAGTTATCAATTGTGTAAGTCCATGATAAATGACCAATTTTCGGCACCGTTCGAAATTATAGTCTTGTAACGATACATCTTTGTGTATCAATGGAAATAAAATTATTAGTTTTGTGAAAGAAAATATTATCTATTATCGCGCACGAAGCTGATGATTAACTTGATACGGTATTGCCGATGCACTATATATGGTTGCATCAAAAATCTACGCGCGTTCACTTCGCTTGAGAAACTTTATGCAACCATTTCTAGAAGTCAAATTTTAATTTCAGGTAAAATTTGCGTTAGGAATCGGAGGAGAATTTTGTAGAGCATTCGTAAAAAAAAGGTTTATAGAATCTCAAATGTGTTTAAATGTATATTTAGAATAAATAAATCAAATGTATGAATTCAAATTAAATTCAGTCTTTCATTATTATTTATTGGACAGAGCGTGAATGGTCGTTCATTTAATCAATTGCTTAATCGTAGTTTCTCATGCGTTTAGGCAGATAAAGAATCTTTTGTATCCAATTCTAGCCAAAAATCGTCCAAGATTATCAATAAAAAATTCTAAGGTGTAACCAAAGATTTCTGTAACCCGTTAACCAAAGATTTCTGTAACCCGTTATCAGTTAACGAATAATTAACCGTTTTTCAAGGGATATTTCTAGGCATCGATATACCCTCATTCCAGCGCTATAGGGCCGCAAAAGGGACATTAGCATGGAGGGAGGCTCGGTTCTACTGAAACGCACGTTTAGCCGGACTAGGGGGCGGTTTTTGAAAGATAGTTCTATGCGGACAAAAACTTGGTAAAAAGCCAAACTTGAACGACTTCATAATCAACAACTGAAGAGAGTTCTGCAATAACAAACAACTTGCACAAGAACCAAACATAAACTACTCTAAATCACCAACTTACGTTAGAACCAAACTTAGCACGCCTCTTCATCACCAAATTTAAATTTTTAAGTACACCAAAAAACCTGCACAAGAACTAAACTTACACGACTCTTAATCACCAACTTTAGAGTTTTAAGTACGCCAAAAACCTGCACAAGAACCAAACTTACACGACTCTTAATCNCCTGCACAAGAACTAAACTTACACGACTCTTAATCACCAACTTTAGAGTTTTAAGTACGCCAAAAACCTGCACAAGAACCAAACTTACACGACTCTTAATCATCAACTTTAGAGAGTTTTAAGTACACCAAAGAGGTGACCTATGACCACGATCACTAGATAACCCGCGCGAGTTACTGAGGGGCGCAGCCGAATATGCCAAGCCATTTACACGCGCGCGTCGGGGAGCTATAGAGCGTCTTAGCACGGCGCCTCCCTCAACATCTAATTTGTTCATAATTATTTTTTCAGCAGAATTTCTCATAATTCTGACGAATATATCGTTGGATATCGTATTAGTGTTTAACGTGTAACAAGAAAGGCGCGTTGTACATCGAATTTTCGTTGGTTACATGTAGTAATAAAACAGATTTCCGAAAGCCATAAGGAAAATATGAAGCATATACAATATAATCTTTTCAATCATGTCGCAATAAGTTTTTATGCGGCAATGTTAATCTCCTACTTTCCAGTATTTACGATGGAATTTGACGTACAATGTGAAGATATCCAGAGCAGCTGCAAAGCTCTTGTACATGTGGCAGCTGCTCGTCGCGTTAAAACTGGTACACTTCAGACATTAGGACAATAAATCTCCTAACATTTCTGCGGGTAATCATGTAAAAATGCATGGAAAAAAACTATTGCTATCAATAAAACAACCTGAAAACGGACAACATAATCGAATCGAAACATCTCGAGCAAATATCCACAGGATATTTGCTGCATGAAAAAGAAAAAAATAATAAAAGGATCTTTGTACTCACGAAGCCATGTTTGTCAGATATGTTGTTGGTGAGTTTGAGTTTGTGGAAAGACACGACTTTCTGCATCCACTGCTCCCCGGTAGCCGGAGAATCTGGATGGATGTACATCCGCTTCGGCATCTCAGGGTCTGCCTTGCCGGCCACCATCCACCGACTAAGACAAAGGGGAAAAATTTTTAGCAAAATTTCACATTTTCGAATTGCACTGACCAGAAAAACGAAAAAATTTTATAAATGCTGGTTATAGTAAGCAAAACCTTATTTGTATAGTTCAAATCCTTCTGCATTTGTATTATTGAGATCCATTTATTTAATACATTTTAGAGCATTCAGAAAGTTTGTTCATTTGAAATATTTATTTTCGTTTATCTTATTTTGTTAAATAAGTTAATTTTCAAATGAAGTCGAGAAATAATACGTACAGACGAATGCAATATAACTAGTATTTTTTTGTCTCAAAGAATTTCTTGGAGTAATATATAGTAAGTACAGAAGCCTTCAACCAAATGTACTGAATTTCGACAAAATTTAAGAAATGAAAAAAAAACAATGCCAGTTGTCGCAGAAAAATTTGCTGCAGGTCCAGCCCTAAAAAACCTATTCTCTCTACCCATTAATTTTAATACGTGGAATTGACCAGTAATTGTGGATGAAACCTTAGCACTTCGACTGACCTGTTCTGACCTATTCTTCGACTGACCTGTTCTGACCTGTTCTTCGACTGACCTGTTCTGACCTGTTCTTCGACTGACCTGTTCTGACCTGTTCTCCGACTGACCTGTTATGAAACTTGTAGCGGCAGTCATCAGCAGCGACGATGTCGAGCAGCAGGATGTATTTTGCTTTAGGATCGAGACCAGTGACGCGGAACTTGATTTGAGGGAACATTTGTCTGGGAAAGAAGAAACATCATTTGGGTGAGTAGGTACATATCTTGGGTGTTTTGACTCATCGGAAAGTTACCAATGAATAACATCAATTATGATTTTAGAAGATGATACGGTTAGCATACATACATTGACGATTAGCACCTTGGCAAATAGTCCCAAAATTTAAGGCAAATTTTGATTTTTCAGGACGGAAACCTGTAGAACAGTTTAATGTAAAAATTCAATGAATTGCATCATTTTTGTATGTGTATTATTCTTTTGAAATTAAAAGTCAGGCGTTAATTTCAGGCGAATTTTAAATTAATACTCGGGAACTCTATTAATTTATTCTATAATCCATTAGCATTACTGTTGGAAGTGTAAAATATGCATTGATATAAACATGGCGCACATAATTAAGTATCTCCAGGAACGGCAAGCCATCTTCAGCGCACTGTGGGCCCATATGGCGCTACGTCATCTAAATAATTCAGCGCGGAACATATGGAGTGCCGAAAAGCAAAGTGTGTTCAGAACGAGTCCTCATTACTGTAGGACTTCTTCCTATGCTGCCGTCATAAGTATTAATATAGTGGCCCATCCTTCCCTCGATTCTCTTTCCTCAGATCCGACCGGTGCCATTTCTGAGGGACTCGAAAAACACCTCGGGCGTTCTTTGTGATAGTCGATGTGGACACTCACCAAAATGGCGAGCTCTTTTTCTATATATTACCTTCGTCAAATGAAACTCTCAAGAGTGTTCAGAATATTTGTTTGTCTTCAATGGCAGGTTCATTATTTGATTTGTCAGTTAACAGTTATTGCTCGCCGGGTGAGAATTAGTGATTCTTCATTACTGTATATGAAGTATTTGAACTTTATTCATATTTATGGCTAAGGTGTTGAAATAAATTCCTTTCTTGATCGTAAAAACGCCGGCCACGAAACAAAAGTATTTTTAGATGTAAAAATTTGCGAGCGACGTTCGATTGGATATTTCCGCAGTTCTCATATATTAAAATATTTTTGACCAAAATCAGAGCTTTTACCATCCGTTCAAATAACCCTTTAGGCCGCAACTCCCCAAATATATAAAGGAGGAAGTAGATATGGGGAGAGGGAGCAGGAAGGAGGATTGGAGTAGGAAGGGAAGAGGGAGTAGGAAGGGAAGAGGGAGTAGGAAGGAGGATGGGAGTAAGTAGGGGAGAAGGGGTTGGAAGGGGAGAAGGAGTAGGAAGGGAAGAGGTAGTAGGTAGGGGAGAGGGAGTAGGAAGGGCCGAAAGGGGAGAGTCAGTAGGAAAAGCAAGAGGGAGTATGGAAAGGAGAGTACGGGAGGATGGACGGGAAAGTAAGGGAGTAGGGGGAGGTGTGGATGAAGGGAGTAGGGGGATGTTGTAGGTAGGGGAGAAGGAGTAGGAAGGGAAGAGGGAGTGGAAAGGAGGATGGGTGTAGGTAGGGGAGAAGGAGTAGGAAGGGAAGAGGGAATAGGAAGGGAAGAGGGAATAGGAAGGGAAGAGGGAGTATGGAAGGGAAAGTAAGGGAGTAGGGGGAGGTGTGGATGACACTCGTGAGGAGTCCTCTCCCTATTCACACCTCAGCTCTTCAGTTCTGAGAGCCAAATTGTTCTTGTCTAAAAAGCTCTGCCTCGAACTCTAATTATTCGCGCAGCTCGATTGAGATGCCAGAGGTCGCCTAAAATAAAATGGGCATGGCAGCCAAAATACCGTCGTGCCTAAAAATCAAATGCTGGATTTAATAAAACGCTCAAAGGAAAAAACTGTATGCATTTATTATAAGGAGCACGTCTTTGGACAGGCGTCGTGAAAGACATTTTTCCAACCTATTTCCAATTTTGCACTATAGGCATTCAAAACACGTCTTCTCTCCTTTCTAAGCTACGTATTACTCGAAAATGTTTTAAATTACTATTTGGTTCATACGAAAACGTCGCGACTGAAACATGCATAGTCAGTTAGTAGTCTTTACTGTGTTCATTTAACTTAGGGTCAGTTACATTAATGCGACTAACTTTAACATGCACACATTTGTACGATGCTTCAAGCCCTAGAAACTTAAGTTTATGGACTAATAAATAATATAACACATTAAATCTCACTAAAATACCACAAATGGTACAGGAAGTGTAAAGTAGAATGTCATTTTGCAAGGCTGTATATGGGCCGTGAAATATAAAGCAGCGTACGTAGCAGGCGAGTGAGCCCCCAACTAACATTTGGAATATGAGAGCAAACTCTTGAAGACTGGGAAGGGAGGGCAGACTTGTGTGTGTCGCTATTGACACCTCGAGCAAGGAGAGACTCAAGTGCCAAACAGCTCAGCCACCGTCGCTGCTGCAGCAGCACAGAGCTTGTGGGGCCTCGCTACTCAGTAAAAATTTACAGACGCGGCAGCTTCTGATTTGGAGTACCAGAGGCTGGGGCGACTCTAAATTTTGTTAGGGTATGTTTTAAAGCAGCTCGTGGTGAACGCTGAGGATGCGCCTTGGGATATCGAACCATATACTTCTAGCGTGATGGTGATAGGTGTAATAATTTTTCTATATAAATAGCTGCGTGAACTTCCGGAGTGAAGTACCCAATTCCTGGGTGCAGATGGAAACAAGTCTTGTTTCACGCACCTAAATAAAAATATCTTTTTGATGATAACTTGCATAATGATCAAAATTTATGAGGGATTGTTAATTTTGTCATAATACTAACGACTACTGATGAAAATAAGTATATTAGATTCTTTAATCACGTGCTATAAATTTTGGTGAAACATGTACATTGTGGGCGAAAATACAAGCAGTAAAACCTTCATGAATCTACTATGCACTTGAGAATAGCTCGTAAAGTAGCAAGATAACGTCGAAAAAGTTCACCGCGTGTGAACAAATCACTGTTCGTATCAGAACACATCTCGCCACACTCTGGCCTTGTGGGAACACCACACTAGCGCCGTCACTCTATCAAGATCACACTTTAGACAACGCACTCTATCCGCACATCCACACACCGAAATCAAGCTAATCGATGTATAAAACTCCAACCGTGTGACGAACAAAAGAACGCAGTGTTTCTTCACATAAAAAAAGTCCCAGAAAAGTAAGAGTAACATGGAAATTAAGTGAGTAATGAATACATCATATTTTTTATCACTGTATGAAGTATTTAAGAAGCAGGTAAAAAATTTATTCAGTTTTAAGTGAAGACCTAATAATTAAGTAATTAACTAGGAAGTAACTCGCTTCCTCTTTTTTACTCGCTTATCTTTTCCTTAAAATAAAAAAGAACGGAGAAAGCGATTTTACATCGCAATTAATGCATTTATACAAAAACCTACAAGCTGGTTTGGCTGCATTATAAATTGTAGCCAGTATAAGCAAACGATTATAATGTTGTATTTTCATTGTATTATAAAGATGTTTATGAGTTATGTATAAGATATCGACTTTTTTACATAACACAGTATTTTTTACATAACACGTACCGGTAACACTAGAAAGCTCAATATTTTACCTGTAAAACAAAGGTAAATTGCAATTAATTGTAACCAACAAATAAACTAAGAAGTTGTTCTTTCCTAAAACCATTTTGCCCGACATGCACTTAGCACCACAGTTCGTAAAAAGCGCCATATTTTATAGAAGGAAATATTCACACCAACCCCATGAGGAAGGCGAGAAATGGGCAAATCTATTTGCAGCATAATCCTCTTGATAGCCTGCAACCCGACACCTCTGCTCCTCTAAGTATAAGCACCACACATTTCATGGCAAGTTATAACTCATTCGACGATATTTTCGAGCTCTACAGCGAGGAATAAATATTCTGTGTGGTGTAAATATGGCACTCAGCTTCCTTCTTATGGCGAGGTGGGCGAAATGGGAGCTCAACGGCACTCTCACTTAATAGCATTCACAAGCCTTCGTATATATGTGCTCAGTTCAAATTTTATCAGTTTTCGAATGTTCTTCTAAGATATGAAATGACGGTTTTGCTGAACATATTCAAATCCAGTTAGAAAAGATAATAAACGAAAAATTGTTACTGACGCGTACTTTTTTATGCATTTAAACACAATCCAGCTCAATCTGAATACAACCTGTGCAAACCAATTAAATTTCATATGTTATCAGCCGCGCTATACAAAAACTGCAGTAATACAGTTAGCTTGAATAAATGAGCTGTATTGAGGGCAATTATCCATAGGTAAATTAACTAAATGGATTCTAAACTACTAAGAAGAAATACCGTGGTGATCGATGTCCGTCGGTATACATGATATGGAAAAATAGAATGAAAGACAATCCAGAAACTAGCGTTCGTTTGGTATGTTACAATCATGTGTGATTAACGCACGTATAATCAAACCGTTACAAGATCACACACAACCAGCAAAAGATTCGGCAATCATTGAACCGTAATGATCGAGCAAGCAGTACACCGATAGATCATCCAACTGTAAAATCAAACTTTACAAGCAGAGACCAATAATACGTCATATGATTTAATTATAATATCAAACCGCTATATAATCAAGCAACCGAAAAAATGTAATATCATCTAGCAAGTAACGAACCGTTGAATAATCCAGCAACCAAGGAGCCGTTACATGATCCAGCAACCAGGGAGCCGTTACATGATCTAGCAACCAGGTAGCCGTTACATGATCCAGCAACCATGGCAGGGAGCCGTTACATGATCCAGTAACCGCAGGGAGCCGTTACATGATCCAGTAACCGCAGGGAGCCGTTACATGATCCAGTAACCGCAGGGAGCCGTTACATGATCCAGTAACCGCAGGGAGCCGTTACATGATCCAGTAACCGCAGGGAGCCGTTACATGATCCAGTAACCGCAGGGAGCCGTTACATGATCCAGTAACCGCAGGGAGCCGTTACATGATCCAGCAACCTGGTAGCCGTTACATGATCCAGCAACCAGGGAACCAAGGGGCCGTTGCAAAGTCCAGCAACAAGGGAATCGTTACATAATTCAATAACTAGAGAGCCATTACA